CAACTCATGAACCGGGGACCAACGGCTTTACTTCCCTTCCGAAGGAAGACGTGATCAGAGATGTTATGCCTCAGAACATCCCGGCGGCGCCGATTGGGATTGAACCCAGGCCTGCTGGGGTGAGAGGTACACCATCGGCGCCGCTTTAAAGTAAATGTGATTGTGCATTTAACAAATCAAGTGTTTGAACACTTCGATCAAACGTGTGGAATTTTTTGAGTGTAGTCACACACGTCTCGCCTCGACTCGATGGTCTTCCGTTTCCATGGAAAGAGGACGAATGCAGTACTCGCATGTTGAAGTGTTGCTCAGCCGCGAGAGGATGAACGCGTTCATGCACCTGACAGTTTACCGAGGAGTTACACACCTCACAATAAACTGCGGCGCGAGCTTCTGCTTTAGTATGAACTTCGATATCACCAGCAACCTATCCGAGTTCCGGTAGCTCAGCTTCACATATCCATACGCACCGCTTCCGATGTTCCTCACCAGCTTGTAATATTTGCTGTAATCTTTGTGGATCAAATGTTCATCCCACTGCGACATACTGGAGCCGGAAATGGGCCGATCCGAGTGCTGCGCAACAGCAATATTCTTGATGGCCTGCCCAAGCGAATTGTCAACGTCAACGTCAGATTCTGATGATGCTTATCATCATACTCCAGATTGTTGTACGATGAATCGGGATCCCGGCTTACCCAGACGTAGTAGACCTTCCTCCCGCAGAGAAGCGTCTGATTCGAAATGGTGTACAGTATGGTAGTCAATCACTTATCGGAATAGATCGACCTGCATGGCCCACACGGAATCGGAAGTGTTCCAACGACCGAATGTCGTTTCTGCGCCACGTGACCATTGTCTTCGACAGCTCGTACGGTTTGACATACCAAAATAAAACATGTTCATCCTGTATTCGAGAGAAGCATCATCTATGCAGTGGTTAGCATCCATACTTCTCACGCAATAGTCACGAGCTCAAATCTCACCCCGGACAAGCCACGAATGACCCAAGAGCGTTAAAACGAAGACATCAAATCAAGAAGACTGGCAACTCTGCCAGAATCCAAGCGACAGATACAATAGCGCTGCGCTTGAGTGAAGGTGGAAGCAACGCATAGAAAAAAAGAGCAAATACACAAACCTTTCTTCTGAGGATGTAATCTTTGCTATCAAATGCGTTCGAAGCATTTACCTTTGAGCGGCAGATGACGCGATTGTGTCGGTCTCATAGCGGTCGTATGAGAAAATGGAAGAGTTGCCAGTCTTCTTGATATGTTGTCTTCGGTTAAAGTGACTATAATAAAAAAAAATTGAATGGTCTGAGCTCGCGTTTGAGGTTTCATTCGAACAGAGGATGATGTTTTGGAACCGGTGGGGAACATTGTTGGAGTGTGTGAGTTGCAGCAATATTTGAATTATGGGTACTAATGGGGTAAGACCCTGTCTCTTTCTCTTGAGCCCACTCTAGAAGTAACATTATGGATTTAAATCTATAAGTGAACCGAGAAGTGAACTGCTGGTCTGAGTTCCTCTGGTATATTCAATTAGAGGATGTTCCTGAATATACAGTCAAACAGCATGTTAACAACAATCCAATGCCTACAAGATTGTGGCGAAGGTGTATCGTGTTGGTGTCTTCTGCGCACTTGTTCATTATGAACCAAGGAAATAGTGTGTATAAGACATCGAAACGATTTAACGTAAAAGCGCACATTTATTAGGGTTTCCGAACTTTTCGTTGCATTTCAAATGTGCGCAATTCGCTATTGGGGCAAGGTGGTTTGTTTAAAATGACGTTGATAGATGGAAGCAATTCTCGCGTCACTTTTCAAAAGGTCCTAAGTAACAAATGTACAAATCGAGTTGAACGATACAAACTTTTGCTCTTCTATCATTGTGATGCAAAAACACTCATCCAAATTTACTTTCATTTATTTAAGATGATCATAGGTTAAAAATTGTCCAATGTACAGTTTGAATTGATGGGTACATGATTGTTACTTCGGTCATTCGGACTGCCTAACCTGATTGGTGCTCATTTTCTAAAGGCGGGGCATGGTTAGGTTAGGTATTCTATTCTGAAAGCAGTGAAAGGGAATCTAGTATCATGTAGAACAAAACGTCTAATGTAACACTCATTGATTCATTCGACAGCCATTACTCGTATTCATCGGACGTGTGCTCTTTCTGCTCTGCTTAACGTAGTGAAATATTGTAGCGAAAATGAGTGTAGTTCGTAAAAACACACTTGTTGTTGACTTCAGTGTCCTTCCAGTTTGTCCCAATGCGGGAAAAGTGCAAAAATTCTTCGAGAACAATATAAGGCTTCAATATTCGGACGTTAGATGCATTCAGTTTCATAACGTCCGAAATTGTGTTTTTATTGAGATGATAGACAATGAAGTGGCCTTGCGCTATGAAAAGGCGCACAACTATAAACACGCGATTCTCTGTGCGAAGAGTGAGTTCAAAATCCCGATATATGTGGATTGTGAAGCAGTGACCGTTCGAGTACATGACCTCCCTCTGGCATGGCCACAAGCCACTATTATGAACCACATGTCAAAGTACGGGACAGTGATTTCCAGTCGACATGAGAAATGGAAGCACTACTTCCCAGGATTCCTGAGCGGTGTTCGAGTTTTGCGAATACGACTCGAAAGCACCATTCCATCGTACATCACGATCGACAACGAAACAACGTTGGTAACGTACGACAAGCAACCAAAAACGTGCCGCCATTGTGGTCGAGCAGCACATCCCAAACAGAAATGTTTGGATGTAGCCACATCGAACAATAGCACCGCTCCAGCAGCTCCACCAACCGAGGGGGTATTCAGTCTCGCTGATTTCCCGTCGATTGATATCGAACAAAAGCAGCCAACGACATCGGGTCAATCATCTCCTGCTTTCACCGGGTTCTCAGCAGAAGAACAACAGCGAAACACCGAGGATCATCACACTTCAAACGTTGAAAGCAACGACGAAAATTCTAGCACCAGCTCATCAAACGCAACAAAGGATCAAATTGAAAATACCAACAAACGCCGGCTGTCGAAACACAAGGAGAACGAAAAAAAGAAAGTTCGTGCTGATCAGTGCACCCAGAAGACTGGTCAGCAAACACACAGCAAAAAAAATGTAATATCGATCAACGTAATTCAAGCTGATGTATGAAAGAATGATGTAATAGCAAAAAGCAGATACAATATTACATCAATGGATGTAATTTTGTTCGCAAAATCGATGTACATCGTACAATGTGATATTACGCAACCGATGGATTGACCTGGTTGCAGCAGTTTCGATGTAATATTCAACAACTTTTTTTGCTGTGCAGATCGTTTAGATGATAATAATGCAACTTATCAAATAGGGAATAATACATTTTATTTGAAAAATAAAAGCGGGAAGAGTTCTAATTACTAATAATGCTCATCGGCCCAAGCAATGCCTAATAGGCGAGGGGGCCTTATAAATAAACGCAAAAAAAAAAAACCACTCATTGATTATGTCATTGAGAAAAATCGTCCAATGTAACATGAACGATGTACAACTTGACTAGTCAAAACGTCCTATGTGGTTTTTTTCTATATTGTATCATCAAATTCAAATCAAAATTGTGATTTAACTGAATTTGCCTGAATTTTCAACGCTATTATTCACTGACTACATTAAAAATAGTATTGCAAAATGTATTGTTTCTAAACAGTTAAAATAATAATATGTCGAACCTCAACTTCGATTTTCTCAAAATGGTGGATATGTTACAATTCAGTGAAAACATTTCACAGGGGCGTAATTGCTTTTGTAAACAACGACTTTAGCCGTCAATTTCTCGCGAATGAAATCTTACCTCTCCAAAATTACAATGCTAGCTGGCAGGGGAAACATTCCTCTACCTGCTGGTGTCATTATTTTTCATGAGTGAGCTTTTATTCACGAGAAATCGACGGCTAAAGCAACTGTTTACAAATGCAATTTCCCCTCTTTTGAAATGTTGGCACTGAATTGTCTATTTGAAAAGTGACGCTGTGATTCGCTATTGGCGATGACGGCGACTCTGCAGCTCTTTACTCCTACGATAAAATCCATGAAACACTATCCTTTCACTGCACCAAAAATTCCTATAATTCCCAATCTTTGCTAGAAGAGACGATTTTTCGACGGTACCGTCAACGCCAATACTTCGTAACACCTAACCTGTTACTTCGGCTGGTCCTTGTCGACTCTTCTTGGCTGTAAGAAAGGTAAATAATTTCAGCTCCTGTTACACTAGTTTATCGCCCTTTCGGATTCCGTTCACCGCGTTTCTTTTTTAATGTGTTGGTGTTTTTCGACATTTTCTCAATACAAGCATAGAGCTCACATGTGGTGCGACGACAATGAATGTTTGTTGATATGCTTTTTTCCCAACCAAGATCATTTTTGCATGCCATGCATAAATACGCACACAGTGAATGGCGTCTGGAAGGATGATGAATGAAGTGAACGACACAGAGAATGATTTTATATGTTTTACGTCATCTGTGAGTTGCGATCTACTGCAATGTGTTTTAACATTGGCTTTATTACCATTTGAGTATGATATCATAATTTTAAATTTTCCTTAAAAATTGCATGGCCGCTTCAAAACGATGTCCACACAGCATCAGTGAAAGTGAAAGCGTAACTTTTCCACGCTTACAAAGTATTCAAATGACAGAAATAGACCAAACAAACGTGATCGCCGAAGTATTCGCGAAAATATCATGTTGCAATGAACGGGCCGCGGGTCGTGCAACTTCGTGAATGAATGGAGGCGCGGTAGAGCAAGCATGGTGCAAGCGGAGACAGATGTTGTGAATCACGTTTTTTGCACGTCTGGCCTACTAAGCGGCGTTCCGCCCGCGCCTCTCGCTGCCGGTTGCTATACTTTGCCTTCCCAACCATCATAGTAGGTACCTGTGTCAGAGGGAGTGTGCTATTTTATTGTATTTTATTTAGTCCATCTCGGTGAGTGCTCGCGTTAACATGTCCGCTGCTGCGGCGACTGCGACGGCGGTTGTTAGCAATGTATGCCTTGTCGGCAGTGGGGAAGAAGAAACTCGGGAATGCTCATTTCCAGCCACCGATGGCGAAAGTGTCGTTTGGAAGGAGATCCTAGTGGAGGAGGATTTTCTGGAAGATAACGATCAATTTGTGGATTTCGTACTGCTGGAAGACGAGCTGGTGCTGGATTTGATAGATGGAGAAAATGAACGACAGGTTCAATGCACCGTGCCGGAGGAAAATGAAATCGATTCATCGCCAAACGCGTTATGTAATAAACGTAACGCTGGTGGGTGGCACAAGCAAGAAACACCCAACGCATCAGCTGAAGTTAGAGCGAGCCGCAAGGACGAGACCACGATTAATATTGCACAGAAAAATGCCGCGTTTAAATGCGGTGTTTGCTTGCTGCTGTTCAGAATCAAGGCCCATTTAATAAGACACATGCTGCTGAGACATCGCCAAGCGGACGACGCCCAGAAGTCCGAGAAGATTTACAGCCGGTGTCTACGATGTAACGAACTTTACGGAACTACCGTCGAGCTAGAAAGCCATCTCAAAGAGAAACACAGGACTACTTTATCGTGCGATATCTGTTTGCGGTTGTTCGACGATAAGAACTCACTCGACCGTCATCGACAATTTCACGCGGGCACAAACCCATTCACCTGCGATGTATGCAACAAGCAGTGCAAGAATTCCAGCCATTTACACTTTCATCGAAGGAGTCATTTTACCAAAGACCTCGGCTACCGTTGCAAACACTGCAACAGACAGTTCTCATCATCCGGCAACTGCCAGAAGCACATCGCCCGGGTTCACACCCTGGAAAAACGGTATAAATGTTCAAACTGCCCGGAATCCTTCGTCTATCCGCGCCAGTTGAAAATTCACCAAAAACAAGCGCATCCTTCGCAGAAACACGGTCCCCATGATTGCACGGACTGCGATGACCGTTTCAACTCAAAGCAGGAACTCAGCAAGCATCGAAACACTGCCCACTACCAAAAGGACCGTCCGCATGCGTGTGACCAATGCCCGTCCCGGTTCAAACAGCTTGGCCATCTCAAAACGCACAAGTTGACCCACTCGGGCGCCAAACCGTTCGCGTGCGACCGGTGCGAGAAACGATTCCGCACGGGAACCGATCTCAAAGTACACCAGCGGGGCATGCACAGCAAGGAGAAACCATTCCGCTGCGAGGACTGCGGTAAGGCTTTCATTGTGGGCTATCTGCTGAATCAGCATCGAATCAAGGTTCACGGTGACGGCGGAGACGACGACGACGGCAGCAGTGACGACGGGAAACACTAGGAATGGCCAAGAACAGGTTAGGCTGAAGACAATAATGTAATTTAATTACTACGAAGCTATTAAATAAATGTTGATTCTTGTATTTAGACATGCCACTGAGTGACGTAGTTTTGTTTGCTCTGGTTTGTTTTGTTGAAATACCTAGTCCCGGAACTGTGCGAACTCGTTCGTTATCAGATGCATCAAGTGCTGTTTGTGCTTAAAGGTAAACAACGATTAAGGAACGGTATTCTCTCGGTTGGGATTGATAATTCATCAATTGAACAGATGATTTAATATGAGATGAATGTAAACAGTGTCTATAATGTTATGTCTTTAACATCAAGGTTTATTTGAAATGTTTTAAGGCATTATTGTAAACGTCATTCTAATGCCGTGGATACACTTGTATGACAAACTATGAGCATGAGCATTATTTGAATAATAAATTATGAGCACATCCAAAAACGATACAAGTGTGACCATGGTTGTGCTCATAATTTATTATACAAATAATGCTCATGCTCGTATCTTATCATACAAGTGTATCCACAACATAACTGCAAAATGCAGGAATAGCTTTGAACAGTACTCGTCCATGACAACAGAATCGCCTTTGGTTAGGCAAAATACGTACTCTGTTAGTATACCCCACGGTGGTAACGGCCTATGAAATCAACCCAAAAAATGCAAAACTTTCCTAATGAAACAAATGCAACGGGAAGTTGAATTGATATTTAATAAAGAAGGGAATACTTCCTTCTTTAAATATTAACCACAGACAAACAGACATAACACATTGAATATTTCTCAATGTAAAACATCGTCGCTAAAACATTACCACCATCTGTTGAGTACACTGTGGTGGGTAGTACGCTGAACAGATGGCGGTAGTGTGTAAACGTCAAACGCAAGGGAATTGACTATGCGCGTCACAGGTCGTGGTACTACCAACTATGATACTTTTGAATTGACCGTTAAATGCTTGTTCGATGAACAAATTGCAAGTGTTATGTCTGTTTGTCTGTGTATTAACTGTCAAACCCACAACGTCTGATACTGAAGAATGCTAAACCTATCATAACTCCGTCATTTCAGACGCAAACTGCTCAAGTTTTGATGAGTTTTAAACAATTTTGAAAAAATCTTTTTACTCTGGAAATATTTTAAATTTTAATGGGATATTGGAGGTTTGAGAGGTATTAAAGAAGAAGATATTTCTTTCTCACGAATATTTATTTGAGAAGGGAGTACTAAATACATATATAATATACAGTATACTCTCCTCAACTCGATGTCCACTAACTCGATATCGAGTTGTAGAATCTTAGTGAATCATTGCTCATGTGATAATGATGTTTATGGAATTGTAATTCTACTACTATTAATTTTCAAGGAGCAAGAGAGTTCCTAATCATGAGCAATTTCAGAGTTGCATTTGAGGCACCTCGAGTAACTCACATTGCTATGGGTTGTTTGCACTTATGCTATTTCACTAGCGCTAATGAGCCAGCTGCTAGCAAAAAAGCTCACCAGCATAAAGTAAACAGGGCATTAGCGTCTACCAGCATGAGATTACAGGAGCAACTGAAATTCGTGCTAATTGGCTAATACACTAGCGCTAGCAAATCCGCACAGATTTAGCGTATGCGTGATAATGTTTGCACCATTAAGCAATGTCAAAATTAAAAAAAAAAATCTCAAAAATTTCGTTTTCGATTTTTTTATTTATTCAAAGGAGTCTAAAACTATGTTAATCATCGATCGAGTTTGCACTTGCAGCAATTACGGCCTCCACACGCTTCCGGAATGCACGGCTGGTTCTAATAATGTAGTCTGGATCCAGTTATCTCCAGGTACCGGTCAATGTTTGTCTGAGGCTTGCTGTACTCGGGGGGCGTTTAGAACAGGCCTTGGCCTTCATGACGCGCCATATTGAGTAATCTAGCGGATTAAGATCGGGGCTGGATGGCGGCCACATATCTTTCGCCCAGAACCAGGGGGAACGACACTTCAGGATTATCCCATTTTTACCCAAACCTCTCATATAATTTTCAACGTGCACAAAATTTCAATCCATCCTATCTATTCTTTCTATTCCCAACTTATCCCTTCTGCATGCACACAAATTGTCAAGCAAGCCGTGCAGTTTTTCGAAGTTTTCAGGTCGACCGCGAAGCACTCTGCCATACTCACTGTCAGTTTACAACACTCTCCACAACAAACACCACGTATGTCAGCTGGCCATGCCGGTAAAAAATCGGTGCGAAACCTAAAAAAGATGACGGACCACTCGTCTATAATCGGTCTTGGGGACAAAAAACATCAAGTGCATCACGGAGGAGAGGGCAACGCACATCCCGGACTCAAACCGATCGAATTCGACGGATAAGAGTCTCTGTGTGTTGTAGCATGGAAGTTGCCGAACAGGCGCGAAGCAACTGTTGATTTCGTTCGAACTGCTGATTCCAGATTCTCCGGGAAAAGCCTTACTAATGAAACCCCCTACGGCAAGCAGGTGGAAAAGGAATTTAAGTCATTTTTTCCACTCGGCCCAAGTTTTACTCGTCTCTGCTGCTGGTCAAGGGTTCGGATAAGAAAGAGCTAATGGTGAAGTAAGAAACCCACCGGCTGATGTATTTCTGTGCGAGAATATTGGGAATCAAATTCCCGTCCAAATACAGCCGGGACCTTGTAATCCATCGCCATCACCCGTTCCTCCTACTGTGCAGTTTCGACCTATTCGGTGCGGAACCGTTTTCTGTACTTGAGCTGTGAGCTTTGGTTATTATAGTTGGGCGGTGTCCCGAGCGGTGTCCATTAATTCTGTTTCGCTAAAAATCAATATTTTGACCCCCCCCCCCCGTTTGGAACAAAACGTTAAACTGAAAATGACCCCTCTCTATTTATTACGTAACGCTCTACAAACCCCCCCCCCCCTTCCCCGCCTTTTCATTTAATTAATTTTTTATTTCGTTTTGTATTTTTTATGTTTAGGCAATTAATTATATTATTTATATTCAAAACAAAAACAAAAGATCAGCGTACGATCGAGTACCTGCTTTTCAAAAGTTCAAGGATAGCAAAAATCTCAAATTATAAAATTAAAACAGATCCATTTTGCAAAGCAAGATTTAGTGATGACAGCCTTCGTTGTTGTACCAAAAACTAAAGAGGCTAAATTTATAAAGAGACGACATGTCAAAATTGGAACAATCGATTGTCTGTCAAAGTCATAGGAAAAGTCATTCCAATCGAGCAGAAGACCTGTCAAATGGATAAGATGTCGCCTCTTTATAAATTCAGGCTCTTTACCAAAAACGTAAAAAAAGACCTATATTTTCAAACTTTACATCAAGAAACGAAAAATAAAAACAAAATGTTCTCTTTGTTACGCAACGCTAAGCTTTACTACTCCTCCCCTATCTATAATTCGTAACGATATAGGTGACACCCTCTCCCCCTATAAGCGTTACGTAATTCATGGACGCTTCATTGCAGCAATTTTTTCTACTTTTTACACCTATCCTCTTCGCGTTCAGACTCGTATACCTCTGAAATTTTTTAACACCCCTCACATCACATCAGTTACCTGATCTATTCCCATCTATTTTTTTCTATCCCTGCTCTATTTTCGTCATCACGACACACTCAAAAAAATCCCATCAATTATGTTTTTCCCCGAAAATCCCAAGTAATTACTAGACCGAAAAAATACATCCAAATGAGTGTCGTTCCCCCTGCCCAGAACGGAAGATGTTCCTGCAACCGAGGGGGGCGACACATCTAAATCTCTGTGCAACTTACCTTGTGAAGAGCTGGTCCGAAAGTCAGTGGAGAGTTGCCCGTGTGTGTTTATGAAGCGTTGCCATAGATACCTCTGTTTACCAGCATTGAACTGCTGCGCTTACAACGGAGGGCTGCACACAAGGCTTGCTGACTCGTTAAGCGTCAAGTTAAGACCTGCTTACACTAGCGCTAATATATGCCACACAATCTCAATTCTAGATGCTCAACAAATCTCACACTAGCGAATAAATCTTCGAAAAATCTTCTTTCATTTCTCGCACTGCATTCACCCAAATCTTCCTTTTGATAGCAGCGATAACCGTCGGAACCCGAGCTGACCTCGGACGACCTGTGGCCACCTTCGCGGATAGTTGTCCTTTCTTTTCTCGGTCTAAAACCCTTTTGACGGTCCACCGGTCCAACTTCCACCATAGAGGTAACTCTAAGACTAGTAGGTCCCGAAGAAACGTGCTCAACTTTTTGGCTAAGCTCTGGTACTCTCTTCGGTCCCAAGCTAATCGATTCACCCCTCGAAACATAGGAAAAACCCACGAACCCCTCATTTTATCTGTCAAACTTTCATAGCGATTTAAAACAAACATTGCGTAGTACCAGAATGTCAACTAGAATGGAGTGCGTTAATCGATTTGCTTGGGACCAATAGGCTAGTCAAGTGGTGAGCCAATTTAAAATCGTTAGGTATTGTATCCACAGGTGAAACGGGAACCTTATTTGTTAAAGTCCGGAGAACTTCGAGATTAGGGCGTAATTGCTTTTGTAAACAAACACGTTATTTGCCGATTTCTCGCGAATTAAAGCTCAATCTAAAAAACTAACAACACAAAGAGGTAGAGGAATGGTTCCTCTATATCATTTGGTATAGTTTGTTCGCGAGATTGTGCTTTTATTTGCGAGAAATCAGCGATTGACTGGTTTGTTTACAAAAGCAATTACGCCCAAATCTCAAAGTTCTCCGGAAGTATGGACGACTATCACCACAACACTGGGAAAAAGCTGTTCCAATCGAGCAAAGCGGTGCATTTTGACGATTCGAATGGAACAACTTTTGACAGACGTCCATTCTTTTACTGTAGGGCTTTAATGTAATCATCTCACTTTTCGCATCACCAGCAACATATGGAGGACGGAGGTGCGAAGCGGAAGAGCTGCTGTCTAGCAAAACAACAACAATTCCGGCCTGCAACTGCAGGATCACTCCTCGAATGCCACCTGGATTTATTTTCAAAACGTGCGTGGACTGAGGACTAAAATCGATTTGTTTTTCTTGGCTTTTGCGGAGACTGAAAATGATTTTATCGTACTGACGGAAACGTGGCTGGATTCGGATCAGTTTATTCCGTTTTTAGAACTGACCGATCCCGCGGTGGAGGCGTTCTGATTGCTGTCTCAACGAGACTAACCAGCTACCTAGGTACCTCGCCCATTTCCGTCTACTGGAACAGCTCTGGATTGTCGCCCCTTTGAAATGTTGACACTGAATTGAGTTTCTCTTTTTTAAATATTTCTAGATAAAGCTGGAATAAGGGCGATGTTAAGGATCATTCTGAGGATCTTGTTTTGAATCCTCTGAAGTTGTAGGTGGTGGCAACTCTCCCAGATTGGCATACCATTCTCAATAGCCGGCAGAATGATCTGCTTGTGGACAACAAGCTTGTTTTTGAAGGACAGGACGGACTTCCTGTTTATCAGAGGGTAGAGCGACCTGATCAAGATGTTACACTTGGTGGATGTCTTGTCCACAATGGGATCGGAATAGCAATTTGCTATCGAGGGTGATATCAAGGTAGATTACTTCACTCGACCATTCAATGAGAGTGCTTTCAAGGTAGACCTTGGCGTTATCATGCGGAACAAGCCGAGGTGAATTCGAGTGTGGAAACAGAATGGTTTGTGTTTTAGCTGGATTGATACAAATCTTCCAGCTCTTGAAGATAACGGTACGATGGTTGCTAACAGTTGCTATCACCTCATCAACAGATATTCTACTATCATCATGCACTACTACGGGGGTTTCAGCGACTCTAGACATTGCCTCCAGTATTGCAGGCTCATGGGGGCTCACCATGGTTTGGCCAAGATTATGTGAAATCACAAAATGTTGGCCAAGAACATTGACCTTTTCAACTGGGGTTATGAGTAGGGATGGGTCCAAGAACAGAGGAAAGCGGAATGATCGGTCTCGACTTATTTTTCAAAATTTTGGTCATCTTCCAAAATGGCTTTGCACAATCTGGGAGAGAGCGAATCTTGTTGTTTCTGAGCTCCAACATCCTTGGCCTGGATAATTTTGGTTAGCCTATTGACATTGGTCTTCAAGAAGGGGTAGCACAGAAAGCTGGAACTGCCTACGAATGGTGTTACGGAGCTTGATAAGATCTTTGGTTGGGCTGTCAAGGTTCAGAGTATGACTCACCTGTCTGGATGCTGGTACGTGTTGCTCCCTGGCACGGGATATTGCCTCTTCGATGGTTTACAGACACCGATCGACTTCTTCGAACGACTCCGGTAGGACGTCGTAGTCGATTGCCTGCATGTCGGCGCTGGTACTGCTGCCAGTTGAAACGATGGTAATTTCGCCGGGAAACTTGAAACCTATTGGCCGAGGAACCTACTTCGGCCACCACCGAATAATGGTCCGAGCTCAGTTCCTGATAGGTGACAGGTTGAGAGATGTTATCGCCGTTTATTTCATAAAAACAGGGATAAAATTATCACTTTTTATTTGTGCTTTGTCAACCGTTTTTATTGAAAATTAGAAAAGTATTAATTTCAGCAAATTCGTAAAGTTATTTGCTGTCGATTGGTGTATTTGAATTTTAATTTCATCTATAAATGACAAAGTTATACGCGTTCAAAACCTAACACCTTTTCGTGATGGCCGCAATTTTAGATTTTCAATTTACCCCCTGAACCTTCCTGTAAGACGTAGTCTACGTCAAAAAGGGGTCTCCCTTAACTCAGTCGGTAAAGGCGCAGCTACAAAGCAAGATCATGCTGGAGGTGGCTGGGTTCGGTCTAGGAATTTTTCGGGTTGGAAAATTTCTCGACTTCCCTGGGCATAGAGTATGATTGTACTTGCCACACAATTATACTAATGCAAAAATGGTACAGGCATCGAAAGCTCTCAATTAATAACTGTTGAAATGCATCTAGTAGAACACTTATACCGCGGATAAATTTGTAAGGAAATCATCCCGTTCATTAAATTGAGCAGTTGTAACATATTGTACAGTTGTTCAATGAGACAAAAGCTTATACATCCGTAAAATCATGGGGGAATAAATAATGCTATAACAGAATATCAATTTGATTGGTCGTAAAAATCTAGGTAAAAAATGCGGGCTCAACCGGGATTTGAACCCGGGACCTCTCGCACCCAAAGCGAGAATCATACCCCTAGACCATTGAGCCACTTACAAATAGTTTCATGTTCCAAACTAATACTGTTGCCTGTCCACCGAACTGGCAATCAAATCCGTAGGAATTGATAAATTGTTCCGTAAATGTACGGAACTTCCTGTTTATCAATGTTGAAATAATAGGTGCACTGGCCTATTGCTACTGCTAACTGCTTCTAAAATTCTTTCAACTTCTAAAATGGATCGTTCGGCATGCTTAGACAACAAATGTCAACACCGATTTCGTTCGAACTAATGTTTCCACAAAAGAATAAATATCAATAAACACTCACCTTCCGTAGCACAGTCTCCTAAACCTTCACGTGGCCCGCTTGACTTCCGGAACGATAATAGCCTGCGGTTTACTACTCTGGTGGCCCGACTGCTGCATATGCCTGTACAATCCTGCCGTTACGACGAAAGCTTCCCCACACTCATCACAACTGTACGGTTTCTCGCCGGTGTGCCTCCGCAGGTGCACTCTCAGATCTCCATTCGTGACAAATCTATTAAAAAAAAAACCAAATTCAAATTTAATCCGTTAATATCAATATTGCTCCCAAACCATATCCCGTACCGTTTCGGACACAGCTCACAGGAGAACGGCTTCTCGCCAGAATGCGACCGCTGGTGGATACGCAGGTGGTCCTTCACCCGGAAGCACTTGGCACACACATCGCACTGGAACGGTTTCAGGTTCTTGTGGATGTTTTCGTGCTTCCGGAGGGCCTGCTGCGAAGAGAACGACTTTCCACAGCTTTCGCAGACGGGTCGCGTTTCCGGCGGTGCGTGAACATTGCGGTGCCTTCGCAGCGTCGACGGACAGTTGAACCGGGCCGAACAGATCGGACAAGCGTACCGCTTTTCGTTGGAGTGTATCCGCAGGTGAGCCTGCATGTCGGCTTTGGTGCGGAAATCCTTCGAGCAGATGTCGCACAGGAACGGACGGATTCCTTGGTGCTTGATTTTATGGCGCATCAGGGTTTTTCTGGAGGGGAACTTTTGATCGCACTCGTCGCATGGGAGATTGAAGTGGACGGTGATGTGGTTTCGAAGGCCACTCTTCCGAGCGAAACGAGCAGAACATTCCGAACAGGAGAACGCTTTCTCGCCGGTGTGGATGACTTGGTGACCTTTTAGGGTAGCCAAATCACTGAAGGATTTCGAGCAGGTGTCACACAGGAAGGGGCGTTCGCCCGTGTGAGTTCGCATGTGGTTCTTAAGGACGAAGCTCCGGGCGAAGATTTTGTTACAGGTTGGACACTGGTGGATTTTAGGTTTACGCGGTTTCTTTACACGAGATTCTTCCGCAGGTTTCTCCTCGAGATCTTCTTTGGTAGGGTTTGTGTCTGTATCTTCTAATGTAGCAGCTTCAGGAGATTCATTCGGAATACTTTCCGGAAAAATTTGAACATCTGTCTTTGGACTTTCTGAACTTCCTTTATCAACAAAGCACAAAACAGATTCATCACCACTCGGTGTTTCATCCTTAATTTCTAGATATTCTACGCTAATCGTTTCCAATTGAACTTCTTTCTCGCTTGGAAGAACGTCATTCGACACTGTACTAAGCTCGCTTCCGTCGACCGTAACAATTTCCGATATCGTTACTAATTCAATCAAAGGCTTTTCCTCATCAACCCGTACTTCCGGCAAACTCTCCCGATCGTCATCGCTAGAACTATATCTCGTCCTACGTTTCCGCTTCGGCATACATCTCTTCTTCACCTGCACAGGCTGTTTCTGTTCCAGCTGCTTGACCTGCTCTAAAAACTTCTTTCTGTCCTCCGGAATAAAGACACTCTCCTCGCCGTTATCACCCCCGGCATCTTTAAACTTACTTTTGGAAAACTCACACCTCCCATTGGCCTTGTGCTTCCTCCACCCGCCCGTTGTTTCGAACATTGCCCCGCATCTCTCACACTTGTGCTGTTTGCTCTTGTAATGCAAGCTCCGGTGCTCCACCATCGACTTCCGGTGTCGATATTTCTTGCCACACACGTCGCACCCGTACTTCTTTTCGTCCTCTTCTTCCTTCTTCCTCAAAAGTTTCCTATCGCGGAAGCTCTCGTTGCATGCCTCATTCTTGGCCAAGTGATTCCTAAGGCCACTTTTGGAATTGTACTTGGCCCCGCAAGCTTCACAATTGTACCGATACTCGTCGATGTGAACCTTTTCGTGATCGCCCAGCGTTTGCTGATGGGAAAAGTGTCGACCGCAGAAGCGACAAACCCACGGTTTCTTCTCCTCTGCATCAGCATACCGGTGGCCAGTTTTGTGTAGTTTCAAAGATGTGGCAGCCAGGAAGCGACTATCACAGATATCGCACTCGAAGATAAAGCCTTTCTTCGATCTGATTCCGGAGGGCTTCTGCTTTACTTTGGCTGGGACAGGAGGGTCGAGATCCAAATCCGGATCCGGAGGTTTCATCTTCTGCATTTGTTTCAATTTGGCAATCGCCTTTTTCGTCGGTGGTTTTCGAATCTTTTTCTCCTGTATTGTTGACGGAGTTTGTTCCGGCTGAGGCGCCGGAATTTGAAGTGCAATTGTGTTGTTTTCGTTAGTAGACTGCGTCGGGAAGGCTGCCGTGCCTTCCTGCACCAGGACTGAAGGGGGTGCATTTGCGTCGCTTTTGATAGCATGATATGGGGATGACTCCTCAAACGAGAGCTGCTGCACCGAGAGTGGCTTCGTAGGGGGTCGTATTTGAATGTTTTCCACAATCCGGATCGTTGGGCAATTGGCTTGAATGATGGCTAAAAGATTAGTCACGTTAAAAATTACTCGATAAATTTAAAATCTTGATGTCTATGCTCACCAGGAATGACCTGAACAATATTCGCCGGATTGAGCGTGGTACACGCCTGATCACCAAGGGCATAACTGTACACTACGAAGTCTCCGGAATGGTTCATTCTTGCTTAATTTTAGCAAGGAAAATAAGGATTCATAAACAATAATAATTTTTTTTTTTGTATAAAACGAAGATAAACAGTGAACCAAGCCGCGAAGCGGAGAAAAGACAACAACTAAAAATAATAACAACCAATCTGCAGTTTGATTTTTGACAGGCGTGAACGAAGAAGCCGGTATTTTAGTACCGTGCACGGAAGCATTAATTTACTCATCGATGATTAAAATTTAATCACTTTCAATTAACCACTTCATTCGAGCACTTAAAATGACGTTTACTACCACTCGAACTTTGAAATAAAACATTATTTTGAGATTTTTTCTCCTGGAACCTCGAGAAAAGTAGCCAACATTTGTGCGTTTCATGAAAACATAGAAATTAGTTGGTCCAGTTTTGTGAAATCTCTGGTAGAAAGTCACGCCAAAACTGCTTGATAAAGTGGTCAATTGACCACTTTGTCAAGCAGTTTTGGCGTGACTTTCTACCAGCGATTTCACAAAACTGGACCAGCTAATTTCTATTTTTTTATGAAACGCACAAATTTTGGCTACTTTTCTCAAGGTTCTACAAGAAAAAATCTCAAAATGATGTTTTATTTCAATGTTCGTATGGTAGTAAACGTCATTTTAAGTGCTCGAATAAAGTGGTTAATTTCTATCAGAGAATTTCTTCCGATGTTAAAATTCAACCACTTTCGAGATCGCATTGTGAATCGCATCTTTTTCGCTTACATTAACTTTTTTCACGCATGCAGTGCTCGCGAAAAGAGTAGCAACTAAGCGAAAAGTTGACGTTTCGAGAAAGAGCATATCTGTCAGATTTTCACTTCACCTGAGGTGTAAACTGATCGATTTCGTTTCACATGCACGCGTGCTTCAAATTTCGTTTCGCCTCGATCTGTATACTAGGTTTATGGAGGTAAATGCATATTCGTAATCTGCATTAAGGCTCTGAACCATTTGGTGGATTATTTTAACTTTTGGTTAAAATATGACAGATGGAAAGTTATCGATTAACCCTGCTATCCGAGCGTGGTTACTTCTGACAGAAAAGAAGTTAAATTTTGACAACCGTGGCTCGAAAACCGATCGATCGACAGCACAGGGATTTTCGAACATAGAAAATAACTTTCGAAATGTCACTCGGCAAATGGTTCACAGCCTAAGGTGGATTTTTTTAACTTTTGGTTAAAATTTGACAAATGGAAAGTTGTCGATTAACCCTGCTATCCGAGCATGGTTATTTCTGACCGACAAGAAGTTAAATTTTGACAACCTTGGCTCAGTTCTGGTTCTGCTCGAAAACCGATCGATAGGTAACACAGGGATTTTCGAACATAAGAAATAACTTTGGAAATGTCACTTTTAACCACGAGTTAAATTTAACTCGGCAAATGGTTCACAGCCTAAAATGATACTCAAACCCAAAATTTTATCAATTTTGGTACACTGGAACTATTTTAAATAAGAACGATTACATTTGCAACAATCACCTAAGGCCGTTCGCAATGCTGAGTTTCAAAATTGTTTTAAACTACTCGTCAATTCTATAATTTGAAACTGTCAAAAATAAAACTGCAACACGATCAGCGCAACGCACAGTTCTAAAAGATGTTTGTAATCATCAAGTTCCATAAACTTTACTGTTCTCTACGAAATTCTCCGTTTTTATTTGTGAAGCTCTTGAAACATCTCTAACACATCCAAAGAAATTTGAAACAGAGTTCCAATCGTGTTTCAAACTCGCTCAGAAATAAAACAGAATAGTCGAGCAGTTGCAAATCTGGTGCAAAATAGTGCTCGAATAATGAAACTGCAACTCAGCATTGCGAGAGGTGCGTTTCTGTTCTAGTTTCAAATTGAAACAGTCCTTATAAAATACAACAGCATTGCGAACGGCCTTTATTAAATCTTGATTTAAAAATCGAGATGAAAGTGTGTGGGTTCGAAAAAGAGTATCGCTGTGCTCAGAAAACGAAGCTCTTTCAGATGATATATAAAAACCAAGGGGTGGGACAGCTTTGCTCTGAGCTGCTTTTTTGCAGCGAGAAACTCGCAAGTAACTTACTGTAACTCAAAAATTAATCGACATTCATCGATGTTTTTGTCTGGTTACTCCGTTTATCCCTTTAATATATTAGACGTAGGTCTTGTTTGTAAACAAAATAGAATTGTTCAGCTATTGAAATGCTGTGAATTCCAGATTTTGTTCAGAAAATGGCTTGAACGATGTTGGAAAAGCTTCGAAAGAAGGCGCATAGCTAATGGGGGTGTCTGGCCCTCTACAGAATGATCTAAGCACAGACAAACAGACATAACACATTGAAAACATTACCGCCATCTGTTGAGTACACTGTGGTGGGCAAACGCAAGGGAATTGAGTACACAGCAAAAAAAGTTGTTGAATATTACATCGAAACTGCTGCAACCAGGTCAATCCATCGGTTGTGTAATATCACATTGTACGATGTACATCGATTTTGCGAACAAAATTACATCCATTGATGTAATATTGTATCTGAGTTTTGCTATAACATCATTATTTCATACATCAGCTTGAATTATAACCCGTTCACATTACAGCCTATATCACGTAATATAGGCTGTCTTGCAATGAGCAATGAACCGGTGGAAACTGACGATTTTAAATTGGCTCACTTCTTGACTAGCCTATTGGTCCCAAGCAAATCGATTAACGTACCCCATTATAGTCAAAATTCTAGTACTACACAATGTTTGTTTTGATTCGCTGTGAAAGTTTGACAGATAAATTGAGAGGTTCGTGGATGTTCCTATGTTTCGAGGGGTGCATCGATTAGCTTGGGACCGAAGATAGTACCAGAGCTGAGCCAAAAAGTTTCCTCTATGGTATTACCATAGAGGTAACTCTAAGACTAGAAGGTCCCGAAATAACGTGCTCAACTTTTTGGCTCAGCTTCGGTCCCAAGCTAATCGATTCACCCCTCTAAACATAGGAAAAACCAATAACCCCTCATTTTGTCTGTCAAACTTCAAAAGCGAATCAAAACAAACAGTGCGTAGTACCAGAATTACGACTAGAATGGAGCACGTTAATCGTTTGCTTGGGACCAATAGGCTAGTCAAGTAGTGAGCCAATTTAAAATCGTTAGTTTCGTATTGATTGTTGGTACTACCACAAACGAAGTGACAGACGGAGCGGCTCGAAAACTTTGGTGACTAACCTGCTATTGCAATTTTTCAGTGTACCACATGGCAACACCACTACTACTGGATTGTACCACATGGCAACACTACTACCATAGAGGTAACTCTAAGACCACTGGGTCCCGAAGAAAATCAAATTATTATTTTTGGCTCACTCAGTACCAGAACAACGGTCCCAAGCAGTCCCAAGCTATTTCACTCACCCCTGCATGTTCTGCATGAATCCACACACCCCTGATGTTATCTGTCAAACTTTCATAGCGAATCAAAACAAACATAGTGTAGTAATAGAATTTCAACTAGAATAGGGTACGTTAATCGTTTGCTTGGGACCAATAGGCTACTAAAGTGGTGAGCCAATTTAAAATCGTTAGTTTCGTATTGATTGTTGCTACTACTGGATTTGCTACTACTAGCATTTTCACCAAATGTACTAGAATGTTTTGGTTCTATCTCTTTCACTCTACTCAAAACAGAAATGCATAAAAAAATGACAAAATGATACACTCTTTGCACACTGTCAAATAATCATTGTACACAAAATCAACTTTGTGCAAAACCAAAACAAAAATACTATCCCATCTGGTGGATGATGGCACAAGCTTCTAAGAAAATTCTATTACAGCGAACCACATTATTTTAATTGATTTCTTCGCCATTTAGTCGTCTGTCACTTCGTTTGTGGCACTACCATAGAGGTAACTCTAAGACTAGAAGCACAAACGAAGTGACAGACGGAGCGGCTCGAAATTTGGTTTGACGCACTTACATTTGAAATTTTCGAGTGTACCTCACGGCAACACTATCTACTCATATGTACTAGCTTAAAGTAGTTGATGCTATTGGGACACCGCCTGTTATCTCTTTTTCTCTAACGAAAATTGAAAGGGAGAGCCTGTTGTCAAACTGCATGTCACTATGTTGTGTTCATTGTTATCTGCACTTCTTTTGTATAATGAAAGACCTTAGGCCAAAATGATTAGGAGTAAACACATCGGGTTAACATTTGCTTACAAATAAACGATGTTGAGCTGTCAATGACTCGCGCTTTTTGGCGGCAATTGTTGCTAAAGATTTCATCAGTCGGTGCTCCTAACCAAAGCCATGGTCATTCGCGACCGAGAAGATATCGTTGTTGGACGCCAAACAGGACCCGCCCGTAAAAAAATCCAATAAAAATACAATGATTTTGAATGGAGATTTTTGTTGATTATCATAAAATCAAAACGAAAATCATGGTATATGAGAAATGTACAGTAAAAAAGGGGGGTTGTTAAGCATCTTAACAATAAAAAAAACTGATTTTTCTCGAACAAATTTGATCTCATCAAATTAATTTTCATTGAGAATTGTATCTTTTAAAACGAAATTTATTTTTTCACCCGTCCAATAATTTAACAATAAATTTATAATGTGCCAGAAATTCAACCGTAAAAATCATTGTAATTTCGTTATTTTATCATAATTATTTTTTTTTTCGGGTGGCCATACTCGGTATGCATTTGCTCCTCCGTAGAGGAACTGAAAGCTCTCGACGAGGGCGATCTGAAGAAGGAAAATTTACTCCAAAATCATGCCGAAATCCATCGAATCGATCGACGTGCTGAAGGTGAGATGGTGAGAATGAAGGAGGATCGGATGAAACCAATTTTGTTCAATTTATTATTTATTTCGGCTAAAGATGCTGTATGTCACGCGTTTTAGCATGATTGCGGTACGATGGTGCGATGCTCTATTCTGGACCGGGCTACTAGACGTGGCAAAACTAGTCATTATACCTGCTACGTGTACCTTGTTACCTGAAGACGAGGAGGGAATCTTCGGATTAATGGAGGAGGACATCAGAAATGAGGAAGCTCGTATCCGAGGACAAAAGTGTTACATCTGCAAGGAACGGTATGCAAACGTTTGGTGTTGCGCGAAGAAGTGCTTCCGTTCATTCCATACGCTTTGTGGGATGCAGAATGAGTGCCTGTCGCATTACGTGGAAACGTTCCAGTCGTGGTGCGATAAGCACGTAGCGCTGGTGGATAAGGTGAAACACTCCGAGACCGAAGCCTGTGGGATTTGCTACGATGATATGGGACCGTACAGGAAGCTGGAATCGATTCGTGACTCGTGCTGTCAGAATGGCTGGTTCCATCGGAGCTACGTGGCACAGTTTGCCCAATCGGCGAGGTACTTTTTCAATTGCCCTTTGTGCAACAAGGACGACTTTAGTCAGCAGATCCATCAGCGTGGCATTTATATTCCGGAAAATTAAGCGAAGCGGCGGAGGTGGGTGAATCGGTATTTGAATACTGAATATTTTATTTTAATTGTTCGAGGGATGCCTCGTGGGAGCTGGAACCGAATGTATTCAACGATCAGTTGGAACGTCCTTCGGAGTGTGACGCTGAAGAGTGTCGCTGTCGGTATGGGCGAGATTACGACGATTGCAAGCGTTGGGATCTGATCCTTTGTGCAACGTGCGGTTCGACTTGTCGCCAAGATCAGTGCATGGAGGTTCCCTCGAAGAACTATGTTTTCACCTTTTGTCGTCCGATTGTCGGAAAGACGCCGGAAGCGGTTTTGAAGCTAGCCGAGGCTTCCCGAAGAGTGGAAGCAGCAAGATGGGGGAAGCCGGTAACGATAGCAGAGAGGGGAGTTCTAGGGGCCGATCTAGTGGCAGACGTCAGATTGAATCGGATGATTCAGATTCTGAAGAGTCAGTTGCATTGACGACCAAACGCAAATCTCAGAAAAGACGAACCGCAATAGACAGTAACGACAGCGATTCCGATCTGGTTTCTACACGAAAGAAACCAACGTCGAAATGACGGCTGTCCACGTCTTCATCTAGTTCTTCCTCGTTCGTTTCTTCGAAGCGAAGAAATCAGTCTGGAGGAACTGGTCAAGAAGATTCCACTGCCACGAGGAACTTCCGTCGAAAAATTACTTCGAGTCAAACCGGTCGTAAGGCTCGAGAAGCTCAGCTCGGAAAAGATCAAATCGTTGACTTCTTCGGAGAATGAAGACGAAGCATCCTCCGCCGGATCGTCGACCGTGTTCGATTTCAACTATCGTGTGAAGTGAAACAAAAAGCAGGGCCGAAAATCGATGGTAGAATTGCAGCCGATCAAACAGGTCATCCGCTCCGACACGAACACGCTAACGGATGCCTCGGTGGAGATCGTGCGTCCCAAGACGCCTGCCCAGAAATCTTTTGGAAAGCAGTTCAAACTGAAGCTTTTTGGGTCGAAAACCGTCCCACGAAAACGTTCCACCAGCGAGTCTGATCCGGAGTACGTTACAGCGAAGAAAAGTTGATTTAATTTTAATGACGAACTTGCAGAATTTTCCAGCACTAGTGCACTAAGCAGGTCTTTCCCACGGCGCAATAGATTACTGCCAACGGTGCCACCTCAAGCGGAAATGCGATTCGAGACCGGGTTGACGTTGATGCTCAAAAGCGAGAAAATATTCCGGATTTCTCTACCCATGCGAATGTCAGCTGGTATCACACTGCTTACAGGTACTGAGGGAGAACCTTCCAAAACTTTTAGTGTTTGGACTGCTGGTATGGCACAAAGAATGCACAATGCACCACGAACCGACGGAGAATCGTATGTGCTGTGATCAATGTGATTGGTGAGGCAGAAGGAAACAAGCCAGCACTTGCATTATCACGACGTTCTTATGCATAATCTAGTGTGACGAAACGTTGGATCATGCGTAAGAACACCGTGAGAACGACAGAGTCGACTACATTCCTTCTGCCGCACCTATAGTAACGCACACGGCTCCCGCGCTGACTGTTCCTTACTTTCTCACTCTAATCCAAATTTCCTTCGATGAGTGAGAAAACAGCACCCCGTCAACACGAGCAAGGACACGAGTTGCCAGATCATTGCACACAAAACCAACTTGAATTAATTCAAAACAAAAATACTAGCGAACCTGGCGGTGAGGGGCGGAAGGTGGACTAAAATTCTATTACAGAGAACCACATTATTTTAATTCATTTCTTCGGAGAAAGTCGTCTGTAACTTCGTTTGTGCTAGAAGGTCCCGAAATAACGTGCTCAACTTTTTGGCTCAGTTCTGGTACTCTCTTCGGTCCCAAGCTAATCGATTCACCCCTCGAAACATAGGAAAAACCAATAACCCCTCATTTTATCTGTCAAACTTTCATAGCGAATCAAAACAAACATTGCGTAGTACTAGAATTTCGACTAGAATAGGGTACGTTAATCGTTTGCTTGGGACCAATAGGCTACTAAAGTGGTGAGCCAATTTAAAATCGTTAGTTTCGTATTGATTGTTGGTACTACTCTAAAATTGGTCATGATTAGGAGCTGTCTTACCCCTTGATAAAAACCGATATATTTTTCAAAATTAACGGACCCAATAAGGTGATCCAAGAGACGTTTCTCAGTGGAACTGACAGCTAGAAATCGAGAGTGTTTGAGTGATCTGGTGTTAATGGTGCTGAATATAAACATAAACAAAGCAGAAATTAATATGAGAGTGAACTGTCAGTTCTACTGTGATCTGTCAAAAGTTCTTGGTAAACAAAAAAGTCTGCTGATCGCAACTGTATCGTGGCCTTATTGTGAGAAATATATGCAAATTAACACCAAGTCAAGGGGTAAGTCACTCAGCACATTGTGCCGAAATTATATTCGGAACAGCTTAAGCACAATCTCGTAGGCATTAGGTTGTTGTAAATTAAATTGGAGCACTGCTGGAAAACTGTAATTGAAGTTGTTCACAACATTACGTGTTGTTTGACTGTATATTTAGGATATACCAGAGGAACTCAGACCAGCAGTTTACTTATAGAGCTTTACGAAATGTAGGTTATAGAGTGGGTTCAAGAGAAAGAGGCAGTTATTCAGCTTTTCGACCCTTAATTCAAACAATGATGCAACTCACACAAAACAAACTACAGAAGTCTATTCATTAGTCGGTCTCCAGCAATGTTCTCCACCGGTTCCATCACTTTTCGGCCGCTGATAGACCGTTGTTTTTCACAGCATGATAGGCTAGGCTTCTGGTCTGCCTTTGAGGGCATTATAAAACTCTAAAACACAGGGCTTTATCCGAGGGGGACGACACATCTACATCCTGCGTCATCCTCAATACGATTTATCCTTGCGATTCCAAACCAATACATTCATAAATACCGGGTTGCCGAGATGGGTATTTTACAAACAATTGCAGCTTGTTCTATGACCGGCACACCCACGGCACATTGACAAAACAGATGACCCAAGATTGGTGTGCGGAGTGACCTACCCCTTGCACTAAGTTATATTATATCGCTCTTCGAATTACGCAGAAACATTCCGTCACATGTGTGTAATATTAAAATATTAATAACATAATTATTACACAGAAACAGCTGCACATAGGTCATTCAACAAATATTTGTGTAATATTACACTAATTTTATGCGATATGACAGCTAATTATTAGGCATACGGACGTTAGGCATAAAGTCACAAGGCATAATGAACGCTTGGCATAAAAAACCTTGCTGCTGTGCAACTCTAGAAATCTCTTTAGAACATGGTAAACAATGCTTAAATTAGGCTAAGCGTTGAATAAAAGATGATACAAGTTATACAAACAAAGTTTATTTAATAAACACAGTTTGGAATCCATTATTTATCATATCATAAGTGACGTAGCTACATATTTACTTAGATCCAAGATTAGTAGCGATAGCGGTTTAGTAATCTGGCAATGAAAACTCAGCATAGTTTTGAACTATATCTTGAAATCAATCGCATCTATAAATTTAAAAAAATCATAAATTTGTTGTAATATATTCTTACACACATATTGGAATAGGCGAATCCGATAGAAACTAAGCGATCGTTTCAGCCTCTGGCGGTGAATAGGGGATCCCTCAAAAGAGTGATGAGGGTCGAAATTTCCACCGTGAACCATAGGAAGAGAAAAATATTTTCACATTTTCTGATTAATTTATCCACCGCAGGTGCTTTAAATTATCATCCATGTGGAATATTTTATTTTCTGTATCAGGTTTGCAGTAATCCGGTTGGTGCTTCCATACATTTTTGAAGATAAAAATTAAGATTTATAAAATTGAACCAGCGATTATGATCTTCCGGATTTTTAACGTGTGGTTATTTCAACTGTTCATCAGTTCAGATCTGTAGATAATCTAAAAATAAGATCACTCCCAATGGAAATTTGCAATTGTGCACTCAAATGTAGATTATTTTGAGTTTTGAAGATCGTCATTATGATGTAAACAAATGGATTGGATGACATTTCCTCTCAAAATCGGCTAGCGCACTCTACATTGATGGTGCATGAAAAGAGCCTATTGTCAAAGCAGAAAAGGTTTTCCTCAAAGAACAGCTCATGAAACAAATAATGGTGAATTCTATGGTTTTTCATTCAATAACAAAAAACATACCTGTTGCTTCCAGGATTTCCTCACGGCGAATGAGAACGACCCAAATTTGAGTTTAGTTCACTCATAATCGCCAAAAGTGCAGGAACTCAGCGATGAGTAAAATTTCTCCCATGGTTTCCTATGGAAAACCTAAAAAATCTGCCGGAAAATGAGGAAATTGACGAAAATTTTACTCAGTATTGGAGTAGTATCAACCGGTGGAAACTAACGATTTTAAATTGGCTCACTACTTGACTAGCCTATTGGTCCCAAGTTCATCTATAAGCGTACCCCATTCTCGAAATTCGAAATTCTAGTACAACACTATGTTTGTTTTGATTCGCTATAAAAGTTTGACAAATAAAATGAGGGGTTCGTGGATTTTCCTATGTTTCGAGGGGTGCATCGATTAGCTTGGAACCGAAGATAGTACCAGAGCTGAGCCAAAAAGTTGAGCAAGTTTCTTCGGGACCTTTTGGTCTTAGAGTCCACTGGGTCCCGAAGAAAATCATAATTATTTTTGGCTCACTCAGTACCAGAACAACGGTCTTAAGCAGTCCCAAGCTATTTCACTCACCCCTGCATGTTCTGCATGAATCCACACACCCCTGATGTTATCTGTCAAACTTTCATAGCGAATCAAAACAAACATAGTGTAGTAATAGAATTTCAACTAGAATAGGGTACGTTAATCGTTTGCTTGGGACCAATAGGCTACTAAAGTGGTGAGCCAATTTAAAATCGTTAGTTTCGTATTGATTGTTGATAGTACCAATAGACAGAGTGAATCCAGTCTTTTTTTTTTCTCAAATTCGGGAATTTTTCCCTGGAAAATCCTGGGAATACATGAGGCAAATTTACTCATCGCTGAGTTCCTGCACTTTTAGCGATTGAAAGTGACTAAACTCAAATTTGGGTCGTTCTCATTCGCCGTGCTGCCATACTTTTCGATACAACGATTCTGTTTTTGTTGTCATCAGAATGAAAACTAGCGGAGCCGTCATCAGATACTTCCATGAACAATGACGAGTTGCCGAAACAAACAAGGACCTGTGGCAAACGTACCATCTGCAACCCAATATTTTGCCTGTCCAAGACGTCGCAAGTTTTCATGAGTCCCAAAAATTAAGGCTCTTTCATTATTGTCACCGATGTCAGCAATCAATAGACGGTCCCCATTATCATCCTTCTGGAATTCATCGGGTAGATTATGCCTAACGTCCAAAAACTTTCAAAATTTACGGGTGAGAGAAGAGTGTAGCAAATCTTCGTGCATTGATCTGTATTAAGGCTGTGAACCATTTGCCGAGTTGAATTTAACTCGTGGTTAAAAGTAACATTTCGAAAGTTATTTTCTATGTTCGAAAATCCCTGTGCTGTCGATCGACCGGTTTTCGAGAATAACTCAGACGCGGTTGTCAAAATTTAACTTCTTGTCTGTCAGAAGTAACCGCACGCTCGGATAGCAGGGTTAATCGATAAGTTTCCATCTGTCAAATTTTAACCAAAAGTTAAAAAAATCCACCAAATGGTTCAGAGCCTAAAACCAACAATCAATACACAACTAACGATTTTCAATTGGCTCACCACTTGACTAGCCTATTGGTCCCAAGCAAATCGATTAACGTATCCCATTCTTGTCAAAATTCTAGTACTACACAATGTTTGTTTTGATTCGCTATGAAAGTTTGACAGATAAAATGAGGGGTTATTGGATATTCCTATGTTTCGAGGGGTGAATCGATAAGCTTGGGACCGAAGATAGTACCAGAGCTAAGCCAAAAAGTTGAGCTCGTTTCTTCGGGACCTTCTGGTCTTAGAGTTACCTCTATGCTAAAACGCTGTCCAGACTGGAGAGTTATAACAACAATCAATACGAAACTAACGATTTTAAATTGGCTCACCACTTTAGTAGCCATTGGTCCCAAGCAAACGATTAACGTACCCTATTCTAGTTGAAATTCTATTACTACACTATGTTTGTTTTGATTCGCTATGAAAGTTTGACAGATAACATCAGGGGTGTGTGGATTCATGCAGAACATGCAGGGGTGAGTGAAATAGCTTGGGACTGCTTGGGACCGTTGTTCTGGTACTGAGTGAGCCAAAAATAATAATGATTTTCTTCGGGACCCAGTGGTCTTAGAGTTACCTCTATGTTTTAACTCTGAAGTCTGAACAAGGCATAAGAGTCCCGCCAAGAGTGAAGCCAGAAGTACCAATCGTTAAGCGATAATTTCTACAGGAGTTATCATTTATTAAAATACATCACATTGTTGCTCCACTCTAATTTACATGACTCCAATCTGAATTCCAGAGCATCCATTCAATCCATCGATCGTCAATCCCATTTTAATTGAGCCACCACTGCTACTAGAAAACCG